TCAGTCCGGACATGGAGATGCTAAGTTTCTCTTACCTGCTTCTTTCTCCAGGAAGACTTCCCGCTGCTTCTTCATGTGGCATCATTCATTTACATCTCGTTACCTAAACTTCTCGTTTTTAATTTGTGTGGGAGTTATTTCTCACATAGATCAAAGGTCTGTACATTTTTACGAGTTCTGTGGGACTGGGTCCTCTGCCCCACCCCTCCGTCCTCTGTTGGACCTATGCGGTAATTGTTCAGAAAACATGACTGAAATTCAGTGAGCTGCCACATCATTAAGTAAAATAAAAGTAAGACCATGTCACACAAAAAAGACGTTCAGTTGATCGTGTGGTCCCAAAACACAGACGAAACACAACATTTGAATACAGGAGTCCTATCTTTCAATTAGTGAACTGTCCAAACATAGAATTTTGGGCCAGCAAGATGGCTCATCAAGCTCTCTTCTGGTCCCTGGCACTGCCGGAGGAGCCAGGGTTACTGTGCAGACACAGCTAACTTCAAGAACCACACCGCACACAACCAGTCCCGCAAATGGCACAGAAATGGCACCAAGAAACCCCGGCCACAAAGATATGACTCTCTTCAGGGGATGGATTCCAAGTTCCAAAGGAACATGGGCTTTGCCACGAGGCACAAGAAAGGCCTGAAGAAGACGCAGGCAAACAGCGCAAAGGCAGTGAGTGTGCAAGCAGAGGCCGTCGCTATCAAGGCCCTTGTGAAGCCTGCGGCCGTGAAGCCCAAAATGCCAAAGGGCCCCATCCACAAACTCAGCAGTCTGGCTTTCATCACTCACCCCAAGCTTGGGAAGCGAATTTGAAGCTAGGTGGGCAAGGCTTGTAGGCTCTGCCAACCAAAGCCCAAGGTTCAAACCAAGGCAGAAAACACAGCTCCATCTCAGGCTTCCAAAGGTGCCCAGGTCTCTGTGAAGGCCCCAGAGGAGGGGCTTCTGCCATTGTGAAGACAGACGGACTGGTGTGACACACCTACCTACACACTATTTACAGAGGACCTGTGTCATGTGCTGTTTTTACAAGTAAACCCAAGCAAGGTCTGTAAAAAAAAAAAAAAAAAAAAAAAAAAAAAAATATATATATATATATGGTTCATCAAGAAAAGATGCTTCCTCCACGTCTAACAAGGCCAGTCTCATTCCTGGGACCCACGTGTGGAAAAGCTGACTCCTGTGGGCTGCCGCCTGACTGCCACACACACAATCCCACCCACCCACATACGTGCACAAAACAAATAAATGTGATAAACATTTTTAAAAAAAGATGTAAAGATTCTTTATAAAAATGCATTTTCTATGTGTGCGTGCTCATGGCGTGGGGGAGGATAATATTAGATATCTAACTTCGTTGCTCTCCACCTAACTTTGAGACCAGGTCTCTCCCTGAACCTGGGACTCACCAATTCACCTATACCTCTGGCCAGAAAGCTTCTGGATCCTCCCATCTCCATCTCCCATCATAGGTGCGTGCCTACTGCCGTCCCTGGCTTTTTGCATGGATGTTCCGGGTCCCAACTCTGGTCCTCATGCTTCTGTAGCAAGCACTTCAATGATTGGGCCATCCCAGGCCCGAAACAGATTTTCCAAATTGTCTGGAGGGGCTTACGTGGGAGGCTTCTGCTAACAGAAATGGGCTGGTCTGTGAAGCTGTGTAGAGAACTATCTTATTCAGCTCTGAAGTTCTCCTTGTGGCGAAAATACTGACTCTAAAGCCAGAGTCCCTGAGGTCAAAGTCAGGCTACGCCACAGGTGTGTGGCTCAGCGGTAGAGTACTTGCCAGTGCTACAAACTAAAATGAACAAACAAGCCCGGTTTCTGGAAAATCACTAACTCCCTTTGTGGCTGCATTGTCCACCTACAAAACGAGGGTAATTTCTTTGACCTCCCCCACCCCACAAGATAAAATTTCAGCACTTTACGTTTCTGAGATTAGATGTTTGTCAGCGAGGTGACATTGGTGATATTGACAGTTCACACTGTTCAGACCTGTAGTGAATTCCAAGACATTAACAAATGTCTTTGAAAAGATTACAATATAAATTGTCACAGGAAATCTTTTGTGTGCTTAAAAAGACAAGGCTATGTCAGGCATGTTCGCTTATGCTTGTGACTGTAGCACTGGTGATGCTAGTTCAGAAGGACCTCTGAGAGCCTGAGGTCAGCTCGAGCCACAGAGTGAGTTTCAGGCTAGTCTTGACTACAGCGTGAGGCCCCGTCTTAGAAAGACACCAAAGGGGGGGGGGGGCTCAGAGGTGTTTCAGTGACTAAGAGCACTTGCTGCCTTTGCAGGAGACCTGGTTCAGGTTCCCAACAGTCTGTAAAGCCAGTTCCAGGGGATCTGACTCCCTCTTCTGGCCTTGGTGGACACCAGGTGCTACCCACATAGACATGCAGAGGCTCACACATGAAAACACACAAAACTTTAAAAAACCTACAAAGACAACAACAAAAGAAGATGTACTTGGAATCACTTTTCCCCTTTCTGTTCCTCTTTCCAATGTGGGTACATTGAGTAAGTCTCATTTCTCTGCTTTTCCCTGAAAAGATTAAGTAGAGACAGTCAGCAGAACAGGGGCTGTACACTTCTGGTGTGTGAACAGGATCTGCAGTTGCTTTGGAAACTTTCAGAGATAAGGCCCCACTGCACAACTGAGGCTGCCTTGAACTTGCTGCTTGGCCTAGGCTGTCCTAGAACTTGAGATCCTCCATGTTTATTTGCTGGGATTAGGTATGCCTGCCAGTCTCCCCTTTCTCTTTCTTTTCTTGCCCCCAATCCTGCTTCTTTTTCTCCCTTTCCTGTAGCCCCGGCTGCCCTTGAGCACACTTCGTAGCTTAGGGTGACCTCCTGCCTCTACCTTCCAAGTGCTGGGATTACAGGAACAGGCCACTGTGACCCTGCCTTTGTTTTGAGTCAGGGTCTCATCCTGTCGTGCAAAACCAGTGTGAAACTTGCTGTGTAGTCTAGGTTGGCCTCAAAGTTGTAATTTTTCACCTTTAGCCTCAAAAGTACTAGGATTAGAAGCATGAGTTTCCATGCCTAACTTTTCTTTCTTGATAGTAAACAAGTAATGGTAAGGATCTTACAATAAGTGGTCATGGTACCTCATTAGGTTACCCTATGAGGTTATTATAAAGTATAAGGATTAAATGAATCATGTACAGTGTTTACAGGCTGGGAACAAAAGTTAGCACCATGTAAGAATTATGGTTATTAAAGATTTACAAAATGAGTCATTGTTAATTTAACAGTAGCATCCTCCACTTTGACTTCTAATATGTCATAATATGACTTCTAATAAGCAGCAAGCTTTTGAGAAACACAAAAGGAAAATTAGAGGTTTCTACAATGTGAAAATAATGTCCTTGGAAATTAATTATCAATGCCATCAAAACAAAAGAAGACCTGGAAGAAAACAGTAACAACCTACAGAGCCAGCCGTCTTAAACTCTCCTCAAAGAACTGAATGTCATGAAGCCTCCTTGGAAATAGCCCAGAAATAAATTCCCTTAATGTTGGTGAAATGATATTTGGCCAATGGTCCCAAGATTGTATTAGGAGAGGTACTCTCCTCCATACATGGTGCTGGGGAAAACTGACACCCCAGGCAAGAGAGTGCAATCAGACTGTCTTCCTACAGCGCAATTAAGAAAGTAATTCCTGGGAGTCAGGAGGTAGGGACAAGAGAATTGTGAATTTTAGGGCCATACTGAGCCACGCTGAGTTCCAGGAAAGCTTGGAACTTTACATAGCAAGCTTCTGTCTTAAAAGAAAAAAAAAAAGGGGGGAGGGTGGGACTGGGAGGGAATAAAGGAGCGGAATACAGAGTTAATAAAATGTAACTAATAATAACAAACAATAAAAAAAAAAGGAAAAAAAAAGGAAAAAAATGAAAGTAAAAGCCAGCCATGATGATTGGTGGTGCACACCTGTAATCCCAGCTATTTGGGAGGCTGAGGCAGGAGGATACAAATTTGAGGTTGGCCTGAGTTACACAGAAAAAAACAAACAATTTTTAGAAGTAAAACAAATGAGAAACTCAGACCAACACACACATTTCCCTATGATCTTGGTTAGCACTGATTTCCTACATGTAACATCAAAGGCACAAGAGGACAAGCAGGATGCCACTCTAAAAAGCTTCAACATTAAAAAAAAAAAAAAAAAAAAGGAAAAGAGGCAAACTGCTGGGTGGTTGTGGTGCACACCTTTAATCCCAGCCCTTGGGAGACAAGAGGCAGGTGTATCTTGTGAATTCACATCTATAGCGCCAGTTCCAGGCATTCAATATAGAGAACTGAATATAGAGAATAGAAAAAAGAAACAAAAGAAAAACAAGCCACAGAATAGGAGGAAATATTTTCAAACTATATATTTGATAGGGGGATAAACCACCAAAATACACAAGTGACTCCTGTAACAGCAAATAAACCCAAATATCCCTATTTTAAGAGAGGGTAAATAATCAGGTGCCACGGCTCACAGCCGCTATCCTGGCACTTAGGAGGCAGAGGCAGGAAACGACAGTGATTGTGAGGCCAGTCCTGGTTGTAAAGGTGATGATGGTGATGATGATGGTGATGATGCCAAGTGGTGGTGGCAACCATCCTCCCTACCTCCATCTTTTTTTTTTTTTTTTTTCTGAGACAGGGTTTCTCTGTGCAGCCTTGGCTGTCCTGGACTCACTTTATAGACCAGGCCTCGAACTCACAGAGATCTGCCTGCTTCTGTCTCTCAGAGTGCTGGGATCACAGGCGTGTGTCACCTCATCCTGTTGGCAGTACAAATCTTTAATCCCAGTACTTGAGAAGCAGAGGCAGGAACACAGGAATCTGTGTTCCAGGCCAGCCTGGTCTACAGAGCAAGCTCCAGGGCAGCCAGGGCTACACAGAAACCATATACGGAAAAACTGGCAGATAGATAGACAGACAGATATACAAAGGATCCAAGTAGACATTTCTCCAAATAAGACATATGATACCCAAAATATGAAAAGATGTTTAATATCAGCAATCACAAAAGGAAGGGGTTGAATCAGATGGCTCAGAGGGTAATAACATTTCCAGTGCAAACCTAATGGCCTGCATTCAATCCCTGGAACCTATCTAAAGATGGAAGAAGAGAACAGGCTCTAGAGACTTGTTTTTTGACCTTTACACGTGCACAATGGCACATGTGCACCTAGCGGCACACACACACATTATTAAAAATAAAAAGAAACTGCCAATCAGCTTATGGGGAGCCATTATCTCACAATCTTGTTAGAATAGTCATTAAACAAACACAGGCCTTGCAAAAGTGTCTTTGTGGGTCACGGAGTTTGCTGCCAAGACTGCCTACCCCATAAAGTTTTTTTCCCCCCCAGAATCCACATGGTGGAAGTAGACAACCAATTTCATCAAGTTGATCTCCTGCTTGGGTTACAGGCCTGTACCACCAGGATTGGCAAGTTTGATAATCTTCCATTGGTCAGTAGCGCAGTCTCAAAAGATGCTTTTCTTTTTGAGACAGGGTTTCTCTGGGAAGCCCTAGCTGTCCTGGAACTCACTGTGTTGACCACGACGGCCTCAAACTCCTGAGTACTGGGATTAAAGGCATGTGCCACCATCACTGGCTAAAGATGTTTTTGTTGTACCCACTCAATGGTAAATTGAGTGGTCAACTCGACCAGGAAGCCGCTGAGTTTGTCTCGCAGTTGGTGCCGCTGTCCTGTGCAAATATCCTTGTCTTGTTGGTTATTGGCCCTACGATGTACTAAAGGACTTTTGGTTTATTTATTTTTCCAATTCTATCTTCATATCTTGAATCATTTTTTTGATTTCCTTCACCTGTCTGACTAGATTTTCCTGTTTTTCCTTCAATTCCTTCACCTGTTTATTTGAACATTCCTCTGTTTCTTTTATTTCATTCAGTGATTTAATTACTTCCTCTCTAAATGCCACACACTGTTTGGCTGCATATTCCTGTACTTCTTTACGGATGGCCGTAATCTGTTTGGCTGCATCTTCCTGTATTTTTTTATGGATGGCCGTAATTTTTTTGACTGCATCTTCCTGTATTTCTTTAAGGATGGCTGTAATCGGTTTTTCTTTATCTTCCTGTATTTCTTTACGGATGACCTTAATCTGTTTGGCTGTATCTTCCTCTATTTCTTTAAGGATGGCCATAATCTGTTTGGCTGCATCTTCCTCTATTTCTTTAAGGATGGCCGTAATCTTTTTGTCTTTATCTTCCTGTATTTCTTTACATATTTTATTTGTTTCCTCCATTATCCTCTTCATAAGCACAGATATACGGTCATTTTGAGTTTCACTTATGATAGGGTGTCCAGGGCTACTTGCCCCTGGATAACTGGGTTCTGGAGATGCCAATGCCATATTGCTTTGGCTTTTGTTGGTTGTGCTTTTACGCCGGCCTCTACCCATCTGGCTGTCTCAGGTGTTGGCTGTTAGTTTCTGGTGCTTGCTGGAATCCTAGGGTGGGGAGAATCCCCTTGGCAGGAAGATGGTTGTTCCTGAAGGAGGCCTCCTCAGCTTCTTGGGTATGGTCACCGAATGGCCGGTGCTTATCAGGCGTATGGACCTGTGTGCTAACTGTGGTCGTTGGTAGTCAGCGGGGCTCTCCTCTCACCAGGAGTCCTGAAGATAGCGGCCCTGCCACTGGGTTTCTTGCTCTGAAATTAGTGAGCTGCTGCTCTTACAGTGAGTGTGTTTGCTGGGTGCAGGCCTCTTGAAGAACCAGGGAGCCCAGCGTTTTGGTCAGTTTGGCTCGGGAGACAGGTTGCTCCTTGGAGCAGTGTCTGGGGTTGATCTCGTGGATCCCAGGCTTCTGTAGGTCTGAGGCTGGAGCTCTGTGCCCCAGTACTCAAGCAGTAATCAGTGGCAGGTGAGCACAGCACTCTGTGGGGGGGTCGGCTGAGTGCCCTGAGGTCTGACCCCAATGTTTTTTTCGTGGTGGGTTTTCCTCCTGGTTGGGTTTCCTCCTGACAAGAAAACCCAGTCTCTGGTGCTCTGAGGCCCTCGGTTCTGTCTGGGGCAGTGAGTCAGGCGTGCAGGAAGACCTCTGGGCAGTTGGCTGAGTGCCTGCCAGAGCCCAAGACCTTTTCCAGAGATTATCTGGGTGACCTGATGTTGGTCCCCACTGCTTCCCACACCGTGGGGTTTCCTCTCACCTGGGAAACACAATCACTGGTGTTTTAGGGCCCAGAGTTCGGTCTGTTGGTCTCTGTGCAGACACTGCTGTCCCGCTGGTCAGGTCCTCCCGGCGCCGCCACCTTGGATTCCCCTCTGGATTTACTTACTAACTGCATCTGACTCTGCAGTTCCCGGGAAGGCTCCTGAAGTCCGTCATCCAGGAAAACACGTGAGATCCTGGGGATAAAGGCCAGATAATGAATTGATTAAACTGTAACAATCTGAAAGCCTGACGATTGAAAAACAAAACAAAACAAAACAAAACAAAACAAAACAAAACAAAACAAAACTCCTCAGCCTAGTTTAGAGCGCATTAGGCGAGGCTGGCTCTGACAAAATGGCCGGAGGGCCTCACCGTGTCCGTCACAGAAGCGGCAGGGAGAGCGAGGATCGCCGAGGCGGTGGAGGGGCCCCGGCTCCAGGCCGACCGGGGCAGCACGCGGCGGGAACCCCAGGAAGCATGCGGTTCAGAGCTTGGATGCAGCCCGCGGCGCGCTTTGCGACAGGCTGCTTTACGGCACCCGTCGCCTTCAGGCTTGATTTACGGCTCCTTCATCAGTTATGCCTTGGGCGTGGACCTTCTTCCCAGCGTCCTCCGAGCTCTCGCCTCCGTCTCCCCGGCCGAGTCCCCTTCGGCGTCCCGGTAGGCGGGACCGAGCTCCGGCGTGCCGCGCGTTCCGAGGCGCGTGAGTTGGGGGGAGGCCCTCGCCGGGGTGGTTCGAGGCGGCGCCGCCGAGCCCGGGGGCCCTTCCGATCCGACGGCTGCTGCGCGTGTCGAGCGCGCGGGAGTCTCGGTTGGAGAGGCCGCGTCCGGAAGCCCCCGGGGCTCGGCTGGTGCGGGAGGCGCGGGGTGCCGGGTGCTGACCGCGTGCCCGGGAGGGCAGCCCGGGCGGTGGTGGCGCTTCTCTGCCACCTCGAGACCCGCGCGCTGTTAACCAGACTGTGACTTGGCCAAGTTGGAGGGGTCGGGTGGGGTTGAGAAGAAACGGTTGACTTTGAGAGTAGCCCTCCCGGACTTTGAAAAATGAGGCATGCGTTAGTACCTTTAAGTTCACTCCTTAGGGGCGGACAGTTCTCTGGTTACTAATAGGCCGGGGGGGGGGGGGTTGTGGAGCCCCTAGTATTATCGAGTTCCACAACATTTTATCACCACTAAATAAGTCATGAAGCCCTAGTTAGAACTCCCCCCTCCCGTTACCTCCCGTTCCTAGTACCACTTCTACTTTGTGTCTGTGACCTTGTTTTTGTTTTTGATTTCCGAGATAGGGGTTCTCAGTGGAGCCTTGGCTGTCCTGGACTCGGTTTGTGTAGACTAGGCCGGCCTCGAACTCACAGAGATCCCACCCGCCTCTGCCTCCCCGAGTGCAGGGATTACAGTGCGTGGACCACCGCGCCCGACTGTGTAAACTTGTCAGTTTCACTTGCGTGAAATAATACAGTGTGTCTATAAAATGTGTGTGTAGGCTTTCTGGAAGGGAGAAATGTCAAATTTCCTCCAGTGACAATGTCTTGTTTTCTGTTACTCCTTCCTCTTCCACAAATTTCTAGAAATGTTTTTGGTAATGAGGAAATGGAAAAAGAGTAAAACCATTTTGCTTGTTTTACCCCCCCAGTGAGAATTTGCATTTTTTACAATTTCCCAGCTGCTGCCGGCCTACAGTATAGCCTAGTTTAAGGCAATGCTGTTTGTCATCTTGAACATCACCCTGGCTGTCTGGTTTTACTTTCCCATTCCTTTCTTCTTGCTCTTACTCCTTTTTTCCTCTGCTGAGGTCTTGATTACTACCCAGGTAGTTGGTTCTCCACCGCACCTGGCTTGTTTCCTTTCTGGTAGTCTCCCTGTAACTAGTATGCTTCTTGGAAAACAGTTGAGTTATTGTGGTTATATTTCCTTCTTAACCCCACAGAGACCAGCGTTAGATTGTCCATAGGCTAGATGGTTGTGACTTAGTTTTTAACATTAAAACATAGGCTCTTAAGGTGGGTGTGGTGGCACACACATTTAATCCCAGCACTTGGGAGGCAGAGGCTTGAGGATTGCCACAAGGTTAAGGCTGCCCTGATACACATAGTGAGTTTCAGGCTAGCCAGGGCTCCAGAGTAAAGTTCTTTCTCAAAACAGCCTCTTTATTCCCTCTAGCATCATGAAGTGTACGGTGTGGTGATTGTGTTGTTTTGGGGTGATTGTGTTGTCCAGATGCTGGGCTGCAGTGAGCCTTCTGATTCATCCTTCTAAGCAGCTGAGCCTGTAGGCATTTGCCCCACCCCCAGCGACAATGATGATTTGATATATGTAGCATTACACATGTGAAATGATGACCATACACAGGTTGTTTACTGTCTCTCACTGTTGTACTGACTCTTAGGTAGCAGTGCAGGGACTGCTTTCTCATAACAAGAATTTATTTTATTTAAGTGAGACAGATTGCCTGCATCTGACTCCTGAGTGCTGGGCCTAAAGGTGCGTGCCACCACCGCCCACCTCCACAGCAAGAATTCTGTAATACTGATAAAGCACACTATTCTCTTAGTATACTTTTCTAGCCCATAATAGTAAATGTCTTAACTGGAAGGTAGGAACAAAGGTTTGTCTGGGTCTTGGCAGAGCATAGCTGACCCTTAAGAGACTTTGTCCCTTAAGTAAGTGTCTTCTCTGATGTGGGATAGAGGCACTTGCTTTTGCCTTTAGCATTCTTTGAGTTTTATCTTAATGTTTTGGTTAAACAGAGTCAACATGGCTGGGGCTGAAGAAGCAGTGCATGAAGGGTGTAACAACTGCCCTCCCTTTGCTGGTGGGAAGTCTGTGCTGTGCTTTGGACAGGTAACTGGTGCTTCCCTTATAGAAGGGGCTTAAGTGAGGAAAGTTAGGGTGAAATAATACTGTCATCATGTGTGTAAGATAGTTGTATTTCTTTCTCTTTAGATGCAGTGTTTCAGGATCTTTGCTGTTCTGTTTTGCAGTGTTTTGTAGTGCCTTACCACTGAGCTATTGCATCCCCAGCATGGTGTACCGAGTTTGTTATTTTGTTTCAAGGCCTTTGTTAAACTAAGTATATTTGTGAACTTTACAGCAAAAGACTAATAGTAGGGCCAGTGAGGCAGCACAGCAGATTAAAGGCACCTGCTGCCAAGCCTGATGACCTGAAGTCATCCCTGGGACCCACAGGATGAAAAGAGAGAACTGAGTTCTGCAGGTGTACCGTGTACTTACACATGCATATGGGAAATAAGTGTTAGAAATGTAATAAAAATTTAAAAACCAATAGTACAGGGATTACATTTAGGTGTCAATTTTTGTGTTCATATATTATAATAATGTTCCTACTTATAATATTATAATATAGTAATGTGTTCATATATTTTAATATACCCAATTTGGATGTATAGTGTAGACATACATGCTTGTGAAGAGGGTGCCAAATCCCCTGGATCTAAAATTATAGGTGACTGAACCAGCTGATGTGGGAACTGAACTCTGGTCTCCTGGAAAAGCAGTAAATGTTCTTAGCCATTGAGCCATCTCTCAGGCCCAGGTTCTCAATATTTTGAAGCAACATTTTTGTATTAGTTTTTTTTGTTTGTTTCTTTGTTTGTTTGCTTTTGTTTTTTGAGACAGGGTTTCTCTGTGTAGCCCTGGCTGTCCTGGAACTTGCTCTGTAGCTCTATAGGCCAGGTTGGCCTCGAACTCAGAGATCCACCTACCTCTGCCTCCCAAGTGCTGGGATCAAAGGAGTGTGCCACCATGCCCAGCATTTTTTTTTTCCCCCTGAGACAGGGTTTTTCTGTGTAGCCTTGGCTGTCCTGGACTCACGTTGTAGATCAAGCTGGCATCAGACTCACAGAGATCAGCCTGCCTCTGCCTCCCCTAGTGCTGGGATTACAGGCGTGCATCATCATGTCCAGCTCTCTTACAATATAATCCCATCATGTTTCCCTTCTAACTCCTTCCAAATACTCCCACCCCCCTACCCACCTAACTTAATGTTTTCATGTTGTTTCCCCAAACGGGGAAAAAAAAAAGAGAACAAAAATTAAAACAAGAAATCAATAAGACCAAAAAAACCCCCCAAAAAAAAACAAAATAAAAAAACAAAAAATAAAAAGGACACACACACACACACACACACAAAGAAAAGCAAAAACCAAAGCAAACCATATAGTCTGTTTTCTACCGGTCAGCTCCTCCACAGCATGGGGCTTCCCGCAGCGTGTGGTCGACGCAGCTAGTGACCCCTGATAGACCCAGGCACTCCTAGTCTTCCTTTCCCAGCAGTTACCAGTTGCAAATGGCTTCTTGGTTAACAGCTTGGTTAGGGGCTAGTCTTTGTATCCGTTTACTCTTTTCAGTGCTGAGATTTTGTCTGGTTTGAACCTGTGCAGGTCTTGTGTGTGCTGCTACAGTCTGTCTCTATGAGTTTGTGTCAGTCCTGTTGTGTCTAGAAGGCATCTATGCTTCCTTTTCTGCATAGATCCCTAAGCTTTAGGGGAGAGGGTTAATGATGGCACCCCACTTATGGCTGAGTACGCAAAGTCTCTAACTCTCTGCACATTGTCTAGTTGTGAATCTCTGACGAGGACTGAGTGATGCACAGATCTATGGGTATAATAATATATCAGTAAGAGCCATTTTATGCATTTTTTTTTAAAGAATTATATTAGGTTTCCCTAGATCCATGACCTATCTAGTGTCAAGTTCATGGCCATTTAAAGCAACTTTTAATGAGTGTGTAGGTTGGACTATTTTATAGGGTACCTTGCGATGCTTTGATTCATGTATACATGATGTGCCTAATACTTGCCCCTGGGCTGAGGATGGAACTAGAGTCTCATGCCTGCTATGTGGATGCTTTCCTGCTGCTGCTCTGTGTGTCAGCTCTGCTCAGTGTTTAAGAGTGGGAAGAGGTGCTGTGCCTGCAAACTCAGGGACTCACTGTGGGAGGAGGGGCCCAGGAAGCCATTTGATTTCCCTTCTGGACTCTAGAGCCAGTACACAGCAGAAGAGTACCAGGCCATCCAGAAGGCCCTGAGGCAGAGGCTGGGCCCGGAGTACATCAGCAGCCGCATGGCCGGAGGAGGCCAGAAGGTGAGTGAGTCTTGGGCACATATCTAGCAGTTGACAGAGAAGATTTTGCCTTTTGCTTTCACTAGATTCCATGGATTCTGAGGCCCTTGGTCCCTGCTACTGGATGCTTTGTAGTGACTCTGGGAGGACTGCATTCTGGCCCTCTCTGTCGTCAGCAGTAGCCCAGGCTACAGTCTGTGTGAGAGTCTGTGTGGAGATTTTATATCAATCTTTAAAAATGTTTCCTTTGGGGGGGAAAAATGTTCGCTTTGCCCCTCACTTCCAATCTGATTAATTATTTTTGTGTGTGTTTTTGAGACAGGGTCCCTGTAGTCTGCCTGCAAAGCATGCGCTGTACTCCCAAGCGCCCCATGCTAAAGTTCTGTGTTTGGTTTTGTCCCCCCAAACACCATGTCAGATGTCAGCCTGACACTGACCCTTTTTTATTTTAAGTCTGATCCCTTCCCAGAGATAGACTTGTAGTTCTGGCTTGATTTTCTGAAGTATTTCTGAAATATTTTGAGAATTCCTGTGAAATGGAAGTTTTGCTAAAAAAAAAAATCACATGAGGAATAACTTAATTTTATTCACATTTAAAAATGCCAAAGACAGCTGGATTGGTGGTGCACACCTGTAATCCCAGCACTTGGGGAGGGAGAGGCAGGCAGATTGCAGTGAATTCAAGGCCAGCCTTGTCTACAAAGCGAGTCCAAGACAGTCAGGGCTACACAAAGAAACCCTGTCTCGAAAACCCAAATCCTAAAAATGCCAAAGACATTTTAATAGTTTTTTTCTTAAATTTTTTTATTTTCTAGGTGTGTTATATTGAAGGTCATCGGGTGATTAATCTGGCCAATGAGATGTTTGGTTACAATGGCTGGGCACACTCCATCACCCAGCAGAATGTCGGTATGTTCTCTGCGAATGTTGACTGGTTCATGTTCCTTATCCCATAACTGCGCTACTCGTGCTTGAGAGAGTCCTAGTGATTCAGGACACAGAGTAGGTGGGTTTGATTGCCAGCTGAGGAAAGTGGATGAGGTACAGGGATCAGTATCTTTCCAACTGGTTCTCTTTCACATTCCTAGATTTTGTTGACCTCAACAATGGCAAGTTCTACGTGGGAGTCTGTGCATTTGTAAAGGTGCAGTTAAAGGTGAGGGGGTGGGGTGCCCGTTCTGCCTAGGAGGACCCAGTAGACAAAGTAGGGAGGGAGTCTGAGTGTAGACCTGGGGTGTGTCTCAGCCTGGGTGCCTACAATGGCAGTATTTAAACATCCTTGCTCATCTGCCCCTCAAAAGAATTTCGAAAGGATGTGTCATATTTTGATACAAAAAAGTTTGACTACATAAATACAAAAGGTGTTTGTGTGCGTGTGCGCGTGCACATGGCAGTGACAGTTAATCTGATTATAATGTCACAGCAGAACGGAAGTGCCATAGGGGATTAGCTGTTATTATTTATCTAAATCAGTACTGTGTCCTATTACCCCTTACCTCAGTTTAAACTAGCAGCTCTCCATCTGTGGGTGGCGACCTCTTTGGGGGCTCGAACAACCCTTTTAAACTCTATGCTGTGTTCTCTTGAGCAAGGGCTTGGCTCCACATGTCTCAGGTGTGGTTTGTTTGAGTGCTGTTGGTGAGAGAGGAGGCTGGGCCGCCAACAGCAGGACTGCAAAGCTCTTATGTCAAAGTTCTAACTTCCTTTCTGCCTCAGGATGGCTCCTATCATGAGGATGTGGGTTATGGAGTTAGTGAGGGCCTCAGGTCAAAGGCCTTGTCATTGGAGAAGGCCAGGAAGGAGGCTGTGACTGATGGGCTGAAGCGGGCACTCAGGTAAGGAAGGGCCTGGGCTCTAGCCACTTCACTTCAGCTCTTATTTCAGAGGAAGTGGCACATTCGTTTGGGTCAGAAATCTAAATAACATTTCTCCTGATCCCATGTTTTCTTATGCACTTTCCAGCAAATATGTGGTTGAATCCGGACTACACTGTTCTGTTTTAGCTCCTCCCTTCCCTCCTAGGACGAGCTCAAAGCCTTTCAGGTGCTAAGTCACCGTTCACTTCTTAGAGCAAATTGCCAAGTATACCAACTCAGAGAGGCATGATTTGGCTCCACTTGAGACAGCATAGCCCAGGACTGATTGGCCTTATAAAGAAAGAGACCAGTAATCCATCCTCAATAACCCTAAAGACCCCATCAGTTCTGTACCACTCCCTAGGAATGAAGCCTCTAGCAGGTGGGTTTTGAGAGACTTGTGTGCCATGTCGCTGCTGTGTTCTCAGGGGCTAGTGACCACTGAATGAAGATTAGAGTCTGTTTTCTCTCCTGTAGTTGCAGCTTTGTGATGATGAGACAATTACTTGGATGTTGTAACAGAACCGTTTTACTTTTTTGTCACTGTAGGAGTTTTGGGAATGCGCTTGGAAATTGCATTTTGGACAAAGACTATCTGAGGTCACTAAATAAGCTTCCACGACAGGTAGGTTAGCAGTGAGTAGAGTGGGGGCAGCGTGCTAACACAGGTGCACAGTCCTCCAGTGTCCCTGAGTGTGATGGCTGGAAGGAGAAGTGAAGACTCAGCCTTGGGCAGCGTGTAGTGATTATTTCAGATTTGGAAGGTTAATGCTGGCAGATGTGACCTGGCCAGGTTTTACAGTGCCTCTCTCCTGCACAGAGAGCTGTGGCTGGGGGTGGCCTTAGACGCCTCAGAACCAGCACAGAGCTGTCTCACACATTGCTGTTCCCCACATGTACTCAAAGCAGTCATCTTTAGCTCTGGTGGCTTTGAGGTACACACCTCCATTCTGTCATATCTACCTGTGGGATCTGAGCACCAGCCTCAGGAGTGTGCTGTGCACTAGATGCTGCTAGAGTCACAGTTAACTGGGGAGAGCTGGTGTCTGCCTGGCAGAATGGCTGTCTTCTCTGTCTCCCCGAGGGCCTTGTCAGGGGCCACCCCATTCTTTTAGCATCACAGAGCCCAGTAGAGTCAGTTGGCTCTGACAAGCCCCATGCTGCTTTCTCCTCTCCTCCTCTGTATGTGTACACACTAGTCTCCCGGGGACAGAGACAGTGTCATTCCTTGGCTGTTGTATTACTGATGTGAACATGGATGTGTCCCTTTTCTTAGAAGCACTATCTTCAGTTTCATGAAAGCTACACACAAGTGTGAGTGCTGGAGCCTGTGTCTATTTTGTTTCTTTTGAGAAATCTCCATACTGATATTCTCAGAAGTTCCCACTGTACAGTGTGCTCTCTCCATGGTCTTACTGTTTCAGCATCCTAGTAGAGGCTTTGGTTTTTGTTCCAAAAGCTTGTTGGCCATTTGGGAATCTTCTTCCTTCCTTCCTTCCTTCCTTCCTTCCTTCCTTCCTTCCTTCCTTCCTTCCTTCCTTCCTTTCTTTCTTTCCTTTCTTTCTTTCTTTCTTGGAGAGATTGAAGTCCTTTGCCGCCATTTTTAATGGGTTATCTGGACTTTTTTTTCTGTTGAATTACAGTAGTACTTTAAATATTCTGGACATTAAAATCCTTTATCTGTTAATAAGAGATACAGATGTTTTCTTCCATTCCATGGGTATCCCTAAGGGTTTTAAATTTTTATTATATTTTTGTTTTGTTTAATTTTGTTTTTGAGACAGGGTTTTTCTGTATAGCCCAGGCTGTCCTGGAACTCCCACTGTAGACTGGGCTGGCTTTGAACTTGGACATCTGTCTGCCTCTGCCAGCCTGGTCTGCAAGACAGCCAAGGCTATAAAGAGAAACCTTGTCTCTTAAACAAAACAAAACAAAAAACCAGCGATACAAAAAATTACAAAGGAAGTAAAAGAATCAAGAATAATAACAGCTTTAAGATGTGTAAAAAATTAGCAAAATAGAAGTAGTAATTTTCACTAATTATTTTAAATGTAAATGGGTTAAATCTTAGTTTAAAAACAGATTAAGAGCTAGAGAGATGGCTCAGTGTATGCATTTGTAGATCCTGAGATCCAACCCCTTTGTTCTTCATGGGCACCTCCATTTACATTCACACACACACAATTAAAAATAAAAATTTAACAAGTATATTTGATAGTTGGAGTACAAAAACCATGTCCAAATATATGAGACCTGCAAGACCTGAATTTGATCCCATATAAAGGGTGGGAAGGGCTGGTGAGATGGCTAAGCGGTTAAGAGCACTGACTGCGCTTCCAGAGGACCCAGGTTCAATTCCCAGTAGTCACATGGCAGTTCACAACCGTCTGTGGCTCCAAGTCATACATGCAGGCAAAACACTAATGCTCATAAAATAAAAATAGTTAAAAAAAAAAAAAAAGCTGCTGGGTGGGGCAGCAAATGCTTATAATCCTAAGCCTGAAGGATCCCTTGGGCTAACCAGAGTCGATTAACTGATGAGCTCCAAGCCCAGTGAGACCCTATCTCAAAATACAAAGTGGAGCAAATGAGAAAGCCAGTGACATCAACCTCTGGCCTCCACATGTGCACACATACACTCACAGGGCAAAGAGAGTTGACAAATGATGCTGAGAAAGCTGGGTCTCCCCAGACCAAAGGATGAGATTTGGTTCATGTTTCATACTATTCACAAGAACCAACTCAGCACAGAGTAAAGTCCTAAGTGAAGGAAAGGTTTCACAGAAAATGTTACAGTCACTGGATATGGTGATGATCTCTCTCTTTCCCCCTACCTCTTTGTTGGGGTAGGGAGGCGGTTGAGACAGTGTTTGTGTAGCCTTGGCTGTCTTGGCCTGGCCTCAAGCTCACAGAGATCCGCCTGCCTCCGCGTGAAGGTGTGCACCACTACGCCTGCAGTGTTGATGATCTGATTCTTCACGTTTCTGTTTTGTACATTCTAAGGTAGTTTCATTGTAGTTCCCATTGCAGTTGCATAAACCATCTTAATGGTAATAATTCTCTTTTATAGTGATAACAGTTTAATGCCAGTTTTATAAAAACAAAGCAAACTGCTGTGGCTGGCCTGGGACTCAGATCTGCCTGCCTCAGCATCCTGAGTGCTGGAATTAAGGGTGTGTCCCAGCATACCTGGCTGTTTGTTTATTTTTAATTAAAATTTTTTTTATTGCTTTGCTTTTTAAATTCTGTGTGCCAGCTTTACAGTAACACATATTCTGTGTATGTGTATGTTTATTGGAGAACTTTGTATTTCCTTCTGTCTTTGTACTGCTTCCTTTTTAGTCTGTCTTTTCCTTTTTAGTCTGGAGCATTCCAGCTTTTCTTTTTTCTTTCTCTTCCCTCCCTCTCTCCCTTCTTCCTTTCTTTCACTTCCTCTTTCTTCCCCTTCTAAGGCAGAATCTCAAGTTATAGCTCAGGGTGGCCTTAAGCTTTGCAGCTATCCTCTGCCTCTGCCTCCTAAAGTTCTGGATTTTAGATCCTGCCACTGTGCAAAGAAAAGGGTATAAGCAGACATCAGGGAAGGATTCAAATTAGATTATATAGACTTTTCATCAAAATCAAAGACTGATTTTTATTAAACTTTACTAATGCAAACCGGTTTGATATACAGTTGAATTTCTTTTTTTTAAAATATGCTAAATGTCTGCAGTCCCAGCTGCTAAGGAGATGGAGACAAGGAGGCTTGCCTGGCCCAAGAGTTAGACATCAGTATGGGAAACAGAGACCCCAGTTAAAAAACAAACACCAGTTTGGAAGTTGTGGGTCCATTCAGTCAGCTTTACGGGGCTTGAGAGGAAAGATGGGCCAAGGACCAAGTGCTGTGTCTATATAGATGGACATGACAGGTTAGAAAAGCCGGGTACCAGGTGCATTCAGTATTTTTCTCTTTTTCCTCTTACTAGATCCCTCTGGAAGTGGATTTAACTAAAACAAAGAGAGAAGATTTTGAACCATCTGTAGAACAGGCAAGATATAACAGCTGCCGACAGAATGAAACACTGGGACCCCCCAAACCACAAGACGCAACTTCCCCTTGCAGACCAAGCCACTCACATGATTCGAACATTAGGCTACAGGGGGCTAAGGACAGCAGCAGCTCCTGGTACTGGACTCAGGTTCCCTCCCTTTCCTCTTTTGCCCCTTCTAGTGTGGCTTTGGTCGCTTCCACTCCTGCCTTTGAAAACAGCAAGTGGTTTGTGTGCCTCGTCCATTGTGGTTAACTTGGTTTGCAGCAGTCTGGCTGACACTGTGGAGAGTGATGCCACTTACCAACGAAAGCTCCGGAAGCTCCGGCAGAAACAGATGCAGCAGCAGTTCCGGGAGCAGATGGAGACCCGACAGCAGGGCTTTGCACCTGCCGAGGTGGAAGCCAAGCCTGAGGGTGTGTGAGAGGGAGATCCTGTGACTCACCAGGCCGTGCTTTACTGGGTGGGGACTAATGACCCCATGGAATTAGGATGGGAAAATCTACCCCGCACCTTCCCAGTTCCAAAGACAGTGGGCTTTTTTAGGGAAGTCAGTGGGCTGTGATTGACCTAATCTGCTGCACTTGGAAGGCAGAGGCAGGATCTTGAGTTCCAGGTCTCACTAGTAAGACCCTGTCTCAGTCTAACAACTTATCTTCTGGAATTTGAAATTCAAGTGAAGAATTGCTTTGTTTGTCTCTGTATTAGGAGACTTGACTCTTAGATGGCTTTTGAACAAGTAAGACCAAGCTGGAAGATAATGAGCTTTTGGCAGATTCTTCACATTGGAGCTTAAATTAATCTGAGCTTAGGTTTCACAGAATCAGATGTTTCTGATGTGCAGACATTTGTAAAGGAGCTTTCCCAGACTAGGGAGCTTTTGTCCGTTTTCTCTGTATAAGTGAAGGTGCAGGAATTTCCTCCCATGGCATGACAGTAAAATTAATGCAGGAAAAAACAAAAACAAAACATATACTATTTTGGGCACAGCATGAGTAATGAGTTATCCTAAAAGTTTGGTTTTGGGCCATGCCAGGAGCTCAAAGGCTAGAGGTGGAATCTAGGATCTACTGCCCTTGTCCCACAACCACGAGGCTAGATGGCTCCTAACAAGGCTTTGGCCTTCGATGTTAAAGAGGAAATGGATTGGGGGTGTTGCTCAGATGGTAGAGTGCTTGCTTGGCACCCTGAGTTCCATCCCAGCACCACACTGCTGTTATCTCAGAAGGGTCAGATATTGAAGGCCATCTTGGCTTTATAGGGATTTCAAGGTATGTGAGAGCCCCTATCTCCCACAAACAAAGGAAACACTTGGATCTCCCCACTCTACTGAGAAATAGACTGCATAGAGTGGAGGTAGGCCTGGAGTCAGGAACCTGAACCCCCAAGGTGCTCCCTGTGCAAGAGGGGAACAGACTTAACCCTAGAGTTGACAAGTTTTGTGACTCTGGCTTGTCCTGTCTTCTGTACACACTGTAGCAGTGCTTCCAGCCCCTCCAAAATACAGCACCCCCGGAACTGCTGCCTCAGGACTCTCCAGCGAGAAAGCCGTCTTTACAGGTAAATGTCAGGACTTAACCAGTAAATACTTGTGCTGGGTACTTTTTGGCAGATAGAGAATTCATGGTGTGTGTGTGGGTGTGTGTGTGTGTGGGTGTGTGTGTGAATTGAGCCGTATACCCAGCCTATAGATTTCATCTTAAAGGAGTCATAAAAGTTCTGACTTTATGTGATTTTTAGTTCTTTAAAACTTCTAAAGTTTCTTTGAGAGAGGAAGATGTTTATGTGTGTGCTGGCATACAAAGGTAGGTCAGAGGGCAACTTGTAGTAGTCAGTTCTTGTCCTGCATTGGTTCTAGGTTTTGAACTCAGGTCATTAGACTTGATGACAAGTGACTTCCTGATGATCCATCTCTCTAGCTTTCATCTGATTTTTAGTGTCTGTATAACAGTGTTGGATTCCAAGTTAGAGGCAGGTGAGCTTCCATGTGGGTGCTGGGAATTGAACCCAGATTCTCTGGAAGAGCAGTCTGTACTTTTTTAATTGCTGAGCCATCTCTCCAGCCTCTTTTTTTTTTTTTTTTTTTTAACCCTGAGACACAGTCTTACTGTCTGGCCTGGAACTGTCCATCTTCCTGCTCACTACTGACTGCCACATGCACCATTACACCTGTCAAAACATGGAAGTGTCTGTGAATAACCCTGTGGTTCTCTTTGTAGATAATCTTGAAGACAACCTTGAAGTGTGGGACTTGACTCCAGATTTAGAGGACATCATTAAGCCCTTGTCTAGACCAGAACCACCCCAAGCCTCTGCCACCCGAACCCTCAACAACCAGGTGGTGACCCCGGATGGTGTCCTACATGGGCTTTGCCACCAGGAACAAGAAAAGCCTGGACCCGGGCACCTGCAGACCTGCAGCACCAACCAGCACGAACTAGGTAGCAGAAGTGTATGGTAGGACAGTTCTGGGTTCAGTTCTGTAAAATAGACAAAGTGCTAGCTCATTTAACAGGTTGAGTTAGGGGGACTGGAAAGATGATCAGTAGTTAACAATGCACACTGCTTTTTGCAGAGGGTCTGGGTTTAACTCTTAGCTCTCATATACTGGCTCATAACTATCTACAGCTTCAGTTCCAAGAGATTGGACTTCCTCTTTCTGGACTCCGGGCACCAGGCATGCAAGTGGTACAAAGACATACATGCAAACACACACAAACACACAAAAGGATAATCGGGACAGAGTGTCACATGCCTGTAACCCTGGCACTCAGAAGGCTCAGGCAGGAGGATTTCCACTGAGGCCAGCTTGAGCTAAAATGAGGTATAGATACGCTTTATTTAAGATGAATTTTGTGGACTGGTTATTTAGGCCAATGGAAGAAAGCAAAGTCTTGGGTTCAATCAAGCTAGTAAGGACTACATATTAAGGTCCTATCTCAAAGGAAAACAAAAACAAAAAAGAACTGGATGGAATCTTCCGAAGGCAAATGCAGGTGAAGATAGTGATAGTGATTTGAGCTTTGGGCTCTTGACATCAGGTCTAGATCTATTCTTTAGATCTAGAATTTGGTATCCAATCAGTAAAGATGTGAATGTTGACGATAAAACAGTTAAATTTTCATTGCATGGCTCTTGAGCTCCAAACTTTGATGACAGTGTTTTATAATGTCAAAATGTTGGACACACTACTTATAGAAAGCAAAGGCCTGATTGCATTTAGACCACTTCCTCCAGAAAGTAGATGTGTCATCATGGGAATGACATCACAATGGTCATTCTTATCATTCTTATTATGTGTTGTCTGAATTGAGGGTTGCTAGTCAATACACTCCAGACATGATTACTGTTTAAAGTCAAACCTCCTGTACTTAAACCATTATCTTCTACAGGAAACTCTGACTCTCATAGGAAGAGCCAGGACCTGAAGAAAAGGAAACTGGACCCATCCTGAAGCTCGAGACATGACTAGATTCTGTCCTTGAAGGACTTTGGAAAACTGCAGTTTGGTCACAGAATTGTTCCCGAGGCTTTTACACCTTTGTTCATTCTGAGCTCATTAGAGGACTTTAGATACTACTGTCGAGAAAGCCAACTAGGTTACAAGGTTTTCCCACCCTGTAATTGGAGGCCAACAGATGAAATGTTTTTTTTTTCCGCATCATTCACTCTCAAACTACTGTATTGAGATTTTAGAGTTAGCAGGCTGCCTAACGATGTAGCCCATCAAGCCACAGTTTTGATATTTTACCTACATTAAATTATGTGTGATCTCACCTTTCCTTTGGCCTCATGTTTTTAATGATTTTCACTAAGTGCTATTAACAAGGCCATGGTGGTAGTTGAGAAGTAGCCTCCCTTTAGAGAGATGGGCCAAGACTTACAGTGAGTGCTTCAGTGTTGATGGTTTAGAACTTAAGCCTCTATTCTCAACACTTAGAATACCCTGTGGGTGTAGTCTGTGTACAGCAGGAAAGCCAGCATGATTTTTTTTTTTTTATACTTTAGGTCGTAATAAAGACTATGCATCTCAGTAGTTGCAGCTTTCCCCCCCCCCCCCCAAAGGTTTAAAACATGCTTCTAAGAGGCAGAAGTTTACGGCATTCGCTTGGTCAGCATTCCTATTTTTTTTTTTTTTTTTTTTGGGTGCTCGAGACAGTTTCTCTGTATAGTCCTAGTTGACCTGAAACTTGCTTTGCAGACCAGGCTGACCTTGAACTGCCTGCCTCTGCAGGGTGGTAGGATCAAGGAGGTATGCACCACCAGGCCCATCTATTAGTGCTGCATTTTTGAGCTGTAAGTGATGTTTGAAAACTAACCCTGACAGAATTGTGGAACTCAGAACTGAGATTGCTGGTAAATGGGCCTCTTGCATGGCTGTACTTGGCAAAGGCAAAACGCATCCAGGTGGGTTCTCCTGCTACATAGGGTGGTTTCTTCTGGGTGAACCTTGAATGAGAAACCGTTGGTTGTTGGGAGCTACCACATAATTTCTCATTTAAAGAAAGGAGGTATCATAATATAATTGTTCAAGACCAATGTTTTTTTCCCCTAAGCAAGGAAATAATGATCCCAAGGAATAGGTATTTTTTCCCCCCCTCTGAGACAGACAGGGTTTCTCTGTGTAACCCTGGCTGTTCTGGACTCACTTGAGATCTGTTTCCACCTTCCCAAGTGCTGGGATTACAGGTGTGCACCACTGCACTTGGCTTTTTGTTTTGTTTAATCTTTTGTGTGTTTTGTCTGTCTGTCTGTATGTATGTGCCAGTGCATTTGTAGTATCCACAGAGGGTAGAGCAGGCGTTAGATCATCTGGAATTGGAGTTCTAGATCATGGTTGTAAGCTACCATGTGGGTCCTGGAAATTGAACCTGGGTCTTTTCCAAGGATAGTACACTTAACTGCTGAGCCTATTCTCCAGCCCCAGGAATCTCTTCCTTAAATGGAGTTTCATGATTCTTTTCCCCAAATGAACAATGAATTTTTTACTCAAGCTGAATTTAGAGTTTTGCTTTACCTAATCCTTAAAGAAAATTTTTTTATTTTGAATTATGTTACAGTGTATGATGGAATTGGTGCTGTTGCTACACCATCTGGTTCCCAGGGGTCACATACAGGCTTTGTGGGAATTGCCTTTAGCCCCTGTGCCTAATCTTGAAGCGGAGACAGGACCTGTTTGTGGGTAGCCAAGACCTAAGTCAGAACAAATGCTTACAGAAGAGTTGGCTAACAGCAGTCTGCCATAATTTCCCTTCTCCTAACAGCTGTGCTGCGTCTTCTGAGGACCAGGAATGAACTCCTTATAGAAGCACCACTTTCTTAACAGCATGATTTTAGTTTGGGGCAAAACTGCTGCTAAAAGTTCTTAGGAACAACAAATCCAGTTATAAGTTGTACAAAATTCAAAATAGGGCCAGTGAGAACAGGCATTTTTTTTTTTTTTTAATGCTAGGAATGACACCCCACAGCTCAACAAAAGCAAGTTTGGTTTATTTGAATGGTTTCATTAAATAAGTCTACAAAGGTAACAAACTGAAGCACAAAGCGCAATCTTACAAGAAGCGCAACACCCGGAGTTAGTGCAAAATGTACAGTTAACGGCTGCTGAGAAACCCCTAGGTTTGAATTCAGTTTTAAACAGTGTACATTGTTAAATAACGTAAGGAAAACATTTATAATTCGGAAAGTTCTTTTTAAATGTGGAAAAAGATACTCAAAGTGTACTATTAACACAAAAATAATTTAAACAGTTCAGTAGCACTAGCTCGTTCCTCTAGGCTTCAGTTATTTCATCCACAGGAGGGGGAAAATCAACAGTAAATAAACCTTTGTGAAGGGAGAAAAGACCGAAAACCAAAACCAAACAAGGCATGCTGCAATTGGCTCCCTCTACCGCTGGAACAAAGTACTCCATCATCCTATAACCCGCTTCACTTCCACACCTCTCTCAAAAGGAATAAATGAGTCAACTTTGGTAGCAGGACCTGAAACAAAAGCCCTGCTCTTTACACTTTATTCTCCTAAAACTTTCAGCTCTCACTTGTATCTTTGGGCCCACACCAACTTAAAAAGAACAGGACTCTTAAAGGAAGAAGGAGTTCAGGTACCCATAGCCAGGCTCTTGCTAGCGTGGTAACTCCTGGGATGTGTCATGAAGTTGGAAATGTGTCAGTTCCCAACTCAAGGTGAAGGAGGAAGCACCCAAGAAATGAGGAGTTCTACTTCTCTCTCCACTTTTTCAGATCCCAAACAGCCAATTAGGTCCCTATTGCCAAAACCTGCCCGTTATATATAACTAGGCATAGCACTAGATAATACTGGTTGGTTGCTGTTATTAGGGGAAATGGAGGATATGAAAATTTGAGAGTATTAGTTCTAATACAGAAGTACGGGTAGCACAGTAGATTCCAACTGTGCAACCATTTAAACATTGTAAAAGAAAAGGGATAGGAAAGGAAATAAGCACTTTTCCTGCAATGCTTAGGAAAGTCAGAAATGGTTCCATTTTCCACAATACAGTACTTCAAGCAGAGAAATATGTGGTACATGTGCAATGAGAGGTGGGGGCAACCAAGCAGGTTTACTTAGAGCAACTTTTTCCATCTGTGACTTGGCACTGTCATCCTTCCAAACTTAAAATCTGGCCCAGTCCCCTCTCATTTTGTTTAATTTCTTCTAGGTCATTTGTTCACTGGCCAGGCATCACTTCAAACGAGCTTGTCCCCCACATCTCCAGTCCTTGTCTTTCACCCAGCTCACAACCCTCCTCAATCTTCCTGAAACAGAACTCTTTTCAACCACTGATGCCAACTTCTCACTGTGCTCATCTTACACCTGCTCTAGGCAAATCTGCTGAACGACTGAAAAACAAAAACAAAACACTTTCATTTTCCCTTTGGCATATCCACTGCTGGGGTCACATGGACCTAAGATTTCTTTCCACATACCCTTTGGTGACCTGGGGTCTGGTAAGTTGATGCTAACAGCAGAAGCAATAGAAGTCCAAGGCACTAAAATATCCAGCAAGCAATACTGGGAGAACAGAAGTATTCAAGTACAGTAATTTATACAATTTTACATTCACATTTATTTATCTAATACAATGGAAATACAAAGGAAAAAGTTAAAGTGTCTTAATAAGTAAAGGACAGAGCTAGCTTCTTTGTGTGTGTGTGTGTGTGTGTGTGTGTGTGTATGAACCTTTTAAACCTTTCAAATTTTACTCTTAAAACTAATGTTGTCCAACAACATTTATAATATCACAGTGTTTCCACATCAAAACTGATGGCAAAGTTACATGTCCGCAGGGAACGTCATTGTTTTCCCTAATTGCTAATGCCGCAGTCAAAGCTGCTAATATCTTTTGCTTAAAGCATATAATGACCTATATAAGAAAGGATTGCAACCCCAGTCCCCTGGTATTTCTGACTAGGTTGTTAAAGGCAAAAAAAAATTTGAGGGGTAGGGATCAGAATCAGAATGGGAGAGAACCTTTTTGTCTGAAGGTGTGCATTGTTGAGGGAATAAGGAATTCGGGACATATGTCAAAATTAAGAGCTCTATCCACTTACAGATACATATGGGCTAGGCTTACACTGAGCTCTTGGGGCTCTCTGGTATCTTCTAGCCCTAGGCCTTACTGGTGGGTACGAAACAGGAAAGCAGTCTCATCAGCCCCCCCACCAGAAAGCTGCTTTTTCCTTCTTTTTGAACTCCAACAAATGGAGAGGGAGGGTGGTTCTCCATTCTGAGGGCTCAAAATGGTATTAAAAACATTCCCTTCTGGCAAGAAATAACCAGTTAAATGCAGCACTAGTAGTTAGTATATAGGCTACTTCCCCACCCCCACCCCCCAGCATTCCATTTCCTGCCCCTAAACACTCAGTTAACACCCTCAAGTCTGACTAGGTGGTACGCAGGTTGGAACCTGGAGGGTTGCTGATGGACTTCTGCAAATTGCTGATGTTGAAATTCTGCAAGGATGTGGTTCCTACAGGTTGGAACTGGCCAAGCGGCTGTGGTGCTGGACCACCTGTTCCACTCCACTGAGTGCCAAATGGGGCAGCTGGAAAACCATACTGCTGTGGGGGGCACATGGACTTGGTGAAGTGACCTAGAGAGGTAGCAGATGCTGCAGAGATGGGGGCAGAGCCACCCAGGTTTGAGGTCATGGAAATGCACAGCTGCCCAGGAGCAGAGAACTTCCTTGCCATTCCAGGACCCTAAAAACAAAGTAACAATCAGAATTTGGCATAGGTGCAATACCCACACACAAAATGGGTGATACTGCATGCTGCTCTAGAGCTGAGATGCTCAAATCTTAGTGTTAGCAAATGCAACAAAGCCTCCCATGGTATTTATTGGTTCTACACTTAACAAGGAGGGGAAACTTGGGTCGGAGATATGTATTCATATGCCAGGTATATATATGTACACACACAGGTAGTGCAGGAAGCTGAAGAAAAAGGGAAGACTCACCTCATAATTCATGTGTCCTTTGCTGCCTCGCCTGCCTGAAAGATTCATGGCATCTCGGGCCCAGTTGTCTACCAACTTGTGCAGGTCATCTGTGAATGTGCCCTTCCTGCTGGAAGTCATGGCAGGAGGCTGCGCCTGGGCAGCCTGGCTACTCACTGTTCCTCCAACCGTATTTGTGCTGCTGGTCCCTAGAATTGTAAGCAACATAATACTAGCATTAAAAGGGGGTCTGGGGTATAACTCCAGGGAAAGGGGAAAATGTCACAGGATAATGACTGGCAAGCCACAGAATGG